TGTGGTATGCCAATTATATCTCAACAAAACTGTTATTTAAAAGGGAGGGCTTTAATGGCGTTTCAGGACTCTATTTCATTGTTCAAACTCACTCCTTTTTGAACTCCAAAAGGACAAATAAGAGGAAAGCTTCCTATCTGCTAAGTCTGTCAGCTTAACTACATTTTAAGAGTATATGATCAACAAGAAAGGGAGCTACACAATAAATGATCTACAGCAATTCCACACACATCTTCAGACATCTGACAGATTAATGTTAAGCGGAAAACAGTTTTAAACACAAAGTAAGAAGAGCATGCAACTATTATTTGTAGGCCAAAAAATTAAAATTTTTTTGCCATGGAAGTTTATATAATGCTAATATTCTACAATCCACGTTCTAATATTCAAGCTTAGCTCTGTTGTAAAGTTTCAAAAAAAACCTAAGAAAACTTTCCATCACCCAATAAATATCTTTTGGCCAAACTTTCAACGACAAGGGAAAAAAAAATATCATGATGTACTACTAAGATAGATAAACAGTATTCTAATGATGCTAACTTTATGAACAAAATTTCAACAAGTTATCTTGATCATAGAATTATGAGTGGACTTGGATTTTTTCTGTTCTACTTCTGTTTCACAGATGTTAAGAATGTTAACTATGGGAACTTTCCTGATGGTGCAAGGGGTTAAGATGCAGCACTATGAAGCAAACTAAAACCACTGCAGCAGGAGTTCGATCCCCAGCCAGGGAGTTACCCACATGTTGAAGCAGACCTCGTCTGTCTTGCCCGCTGCTCCCCTCAGCAGTGTATTTCAGTACATCTGCCTGTTCTGTTCCTCTCTCTGTCTCTGGTGAATCCTCTCACCCCCCAAACCTCTGGCTTGTACCCCAGTTCTTATATGTATAAATAAATCGTTAAAAAAATGCTAACTATGATAAAAAAATAAGCAAAGTACAGTTTTACATGTACCTATGATATGTATATAGATATACGTGCACAATATGATATATAAAATAAGCATATATTGATTATGGTATAGTCCAGTTTTTAAACACTTGGCTCAAGACTGTGGTTGGTACAGTTAGCACTATAAGTCAGAGGGAAAGAGTTTTCCACACTATCCCCTTCTCTAACACATCAGATTCTACTAATCCTGATCCACCTTCTCCAAAATAATACAACACTTAGTTTTAATCAAGTTCTGATATTTCTTTTATCCTGCCACTGCTACCCTAGAACTCCTTAGCTTATTATTCATCAAAGTCAAGATTTTTAACAGGATTTTCCAAGATATTCATAGGAACTAGCTTCAATTTAAGTAAGTAGTCAAGAACACTACAATAAGCTACAAGGTATCCTTTTACAGAGAATAAAATTGAAAATGTCTTTGACTTACTGGCAGAACATGCACTATCCAAACAAACAATAAAAATAAAGTTTAGGGGCCTCCCTGGTGGTGCAAGGGGTTGAACACCGCACTATGAAGCAATCCGCAGCCTCTGCAGCACCAGTTCCATCCCTGAGTTCAATCCCCGGCTGGCCAGGGAGCAACCCACATGGCGTGGCAGACCTCTCCTGTCTCGCCCCTGCTCCCCTCAGCAGTGTGGTTCAGTCAGTCTGCCTATTCTGTTCCCCACTCTATCTCTGGTGAATGCTCTCACACCCCTGCATCTCTGGCCTGTACCCCAGCTCTTGTATGCATAAATACATAAATCTTTTTTTAAAAAATAAAGTTCTAAAGGCACTGTGAAAATATTACATCAATGATATATACTCATCTAGCAAAGAAATACAAAGCAAATCATAAAATGTAGTTACTAAATGTGTTCTAGCTGATTGGCAATTCAACATAACGAAAAAGTAAAAGGAAGAAAAAACGTAGAACAATTAACATTTTTAAATGAGAACAGGTTCTTCTCCCCCCAAATATAAAATCTGGCCAAATTTAACTTGTATGTCCATTTACTCCCCTCCCCCCAAAAAACCACCACAGCAAAAAATCCAACCAAACCCCCCCCCCAAAAAACCCCAAACCTCTAACTATTATGTTAGGCAGCTTTGCAAAATACCACCACTTCAATCTGAGTTAAATTTAATTAGCATGTGCATCACTGAAAATCAAGCCAGACTAGGGTCCTCTCTGGTGGTGCAAGGGGTTAAGATGCAGCACCATGAAGCTACTGGCAGCCACTGCAGCAAGAGCTCAATTCCCGGTCAGGGAGGTGACCCACATGGTGCAACAGACCTCTCCTGTCTGCCCCACTGCTCCTCTCAACAGTGTATTTCAGTGTTTTTCATCTGCCTGTTCAGCTCCCCACTCTGTCTCTGGTGAATCCTCTCCCCCCTCACCCCCACCCCGCATCTCTGGCCTGCACCCCAGCTCTTGTATGCATAAATAAAAAACTCTTAAAAAAAAAAAAACCAGACAAGAAAAATCTTTTTTTTTTTTTTTGGGTATGCAGTGCTGTATTTATTCAAACTAATTTATTTTTCTAACATTTCAAAATAATCTGTTGCTTATATTTCCAATCTTCTTTGAACAGATAGTAATTTAGGAGATTATTTTTAATATGCATATTAATATGCATATTAAAATATGCATATTAAAAATATGCATAGTTCTGAATAGTTGAGGTTTTTACATTTTTTGAAGCTATTGTCATTTTTTCAGAATTCCTCTGTGCCAGATATCAAAAAGTATAGTCAGACTAATTTCTGGTTTAGAGACTTAAATGGTGTTTATCAGTGCCATCATTGGTAATGTTTTGCGAATATTTGAAAAACATACATTCTCTATAGGGTACATACTTTGAGATTATCTATTCTCTTTTATTAATAGTTCAATCACATGCTCATTTATTTTCTGTTTTATCACAGACTGAGAGCAGTATAATAAAATCTGCTACTGTAATTATGTTTCTGTCAATTCCTCTCTGCTTGCCTAACAGATTTTGCTTTATGTGTTTTGATGTTTTATTAGTAAACAAATATATATATTTAAAATCAGACCAGAAAAATTTTTTTTGAAGACTGAAAATAATTACTTAATAGAAAATCCAAGCCTGTTTTGGAAGTCTTTGAATGGGTCTAGATTTTGGAAGTGGGAAGGAGTCTGGAAAATTTGAGACTCCTAGGGAAACACTATCAAAGTAAATATATGTCCGAGGATTAAAAGAAAAGTAATATAACTCTACCCAGAGGAGTAGAGTTGAAAAGCTTGAAAATCACTACGTTTAGACTGGGTGTTCCTTGAATCAAGAGACTGTCTTAACTTTGGATTCCTCATGCCTGACACAAAGGTCAGTAAACGCTGCCGATTAAAAAAGGGAAAATGTGTCTGGACTAGATTTCTCACCAAAAAAGAAAAAAAAAAAGAGACTGTCCAACCAGAACCAAATATCTAATGTGAATTCACACACCCAAAGCAATCACACACTTAGGATACTTCCCCACCATACCTTTTCCCCAATAACCTTGAAAAACTCACCAGTTAAATTTCTGAAGTATCTACAATCATAATTAGCTTGTCTAATTTAAAAGGTTCCAGGTCAAACATTTGAAAACACATCAAGCTACTGTTTATGCTTACACAGTATATAACTACATGGGAGGGGGGGAGTGAAGTGGCAGAGATGCCAGCCTAAGATTTTTAAAATATTTACATCTACAAGCAAAGATTTAAAGAAACAACATAAAAATGGGGTGGGGGCCCAAGTGTTTTACAAAGTTAGCAAGATACTAAATTTTGTAAATAACTCTACTTCTCACTTAGACTGCAGAAAACACAAAGCAAACGTTTTACAGACCCGCAAGACTGCCTATCTGTTGAAGTCCACGAAGCCTTAAGCAGCGAACACTGACTGCAGGCACCAGGGGGCCTCCCAGGAATAACTTGATAGTAGAGGGAAAGGTAAATAGAGTTCCTGGTAAACGTGCTTTCAATTTAGTGACAGACTGCCCTACGGCTTTCATATCTGGAGAATATAAACTGTATTTCGTTACACAACAGGTTCACAGAACTGAGGAGGACAGCAGCGACACATAAGTCGAAAAAAGGAACTAGTGCCCTCCTATCATACAACCTTCTTTGATGATTTTCCAAATAAAAGCACACACTGCTTCACTGCAGTAAACACTACCTACAGCAAGTAATAGATGAGTGCAGGTACGATCATTCCACAGTTTCTGACAGAAGACTCAAAAAAAAAAGGCTTCATTTCTTTTCTACACACTCGCAAAACAATTAGTGATGGTGCAAATTTTAGGGTGGAGGAACTCCCTGGCAGAAGATGGAGAGAAACTTTCAACAACATTCCGGCTTCACCATCTCTCCTTCCCCTTCCCCAGCATGAAACTCTTCAATAAAACACAAGGGCCCGGAAACTTCAAAAGCTGCAGAGGCTTGTAAATACCTTTCAAACACGAGCAGCTTTTACAGCAGACATTTACTAAGTTCGTAAAGATATGAAATGCTGCTCCAACCTGTTAAAATCCTCAACCTCGAAAGCTCACCCCTGGGCGAGCCAACGAGTCCACAGACTTCATGATTCCAGCGTGTATTTGGGCTCCACCAAGGATCTCACTATTTATTTGAAGCAGAACGAGGCCCTGGAGATGCTCCCCTCCAGCTAACGCTATCCTCGCCCCGGCGAGCTCGCCCCGCAGCACCGCATCAGCACCACAGGGCACCAGACCGAAAACAGTCGTTTCATGGAGGTTTTCCCCAAACCCACTCCCGGGACGAGAACGCGCCGCAGCCCAGGGCCCGGCACAAAGAGCGCCCGGCAGGCGCGCGTTCCAGGGGCGCACAGCCTCGCGCCCCCGCGGCGAGGGCCCCCGAATCCCCGGCCGGCGCGCCTCCGCGCGGGTCCCCGCAGGCCCGCCCGCGCCCCGGGCCGCCCCCGCCCCGGCCCGCCCGCCCGCGTCGGGGCGGGCAATTGGGGGGTCCCCCGGGCGGCGGCGGGGGCCGAGGCGCCCCCTCCCCGCGGCCCGCCGCCCGCCGCGCCCACTCACCCTCCAGCAGGCGGGTGATGAGACTGTCCACGTTCAGCTCCCCGTCCGCCATCTTGTCGGCAGCAGCGCTCCTCCCGGCCGCGGGAACAAGGGCTCTCGGCGCGCAGCTGCGGCGACGCTCGCGCTCCCTCACCTGCAAGTCACGCGCGTCGCGCCCGGCTCGGCCCCCCGCGCCGCCCCCCCCGCGAGCGCCCGCGCGCCCGCGCCCCGCACAGTAAATAAACAAACAAGCAGCGGAGCCCCCAAGAACCGGGCCGCGTCAGACCCAGCCGCCGCCGCTGCCACCTCCTCCGCCTCCGCCTCCGCCTCCGCCTCCTCCCCGGCACCGCCCAACTCCGCAAAGCTCACCAGCGCCGCCGCCCGCCCCACCCGCAGCGCCGCTCGCTCCGCACCGCCCTTCCCCGCCGCCGCCGCGCCACGCAACCCCGCGCGCAGGCGCACGACGCCGCGCCCGCGGCCCCGCCCCCGCCGCCCGGGGCTCCGCGCAGGCGCACTAGGCTCGCTTCTCTCGCCGCCGCCTTGCCGCAGGTGCCTCGTCCTCGCTCGCCTCTTCCACTGCGCCGACTCGCCGCGGCGGCGCAGGCGCCCCGAGGGGCCGGGGGGCTGCCGCGCCCGGGAGGCTCGCGTGACGCAGGGCGCGCGTAGGCTGCGCTGCCCTTCGCCGCCCGCGCTCCCCGGGCCCACGCGCGCTGCCGCCCGCCGCAGTTTTCTTCTTGGCTTCGGTGCCTGCTCCGCGGAGGGGGTCCCCACGTCTCCGTTACCCGAGAGACGCGGGCGGCCGCGACCCCATTTTGAAGCCCGGGTTGGCGCGTTGTGGAAGCGAGAAGGGGTTACCCCGCTGGAAAAGTGGGACGTGCAAATAAGGGGGCTCATACCTTGCTGTTGGACAAGGTTAATTGCCACGTGACCCCAGATGAGGAAAGAGTGGGCCCTGGGGGGGTCAGCAGTGTTTTTACTGGGGTGCCTACCACTGCGCCTTCTGGGGAGCGCCTCACTGACCTTTTGTTTGTCCTCTCTCTGGCTACAGCCGTCCACAGTGCTCTACCCTTCATCCCTCTGTTACATTCCTTCATCCTCTCCCTGGGAGCAATAATCGTTTGGGTGAGCCTACTTTTAACGCTGCGCTGCTGCAGCATCCACCACTTGGATCTGGCATGTGGAAGACAGAGAGGAGAGACAGGAGTCTCAGAAAGGTGGTTGCCCAGCTGTTCTTTCCAGGGCGTAATTCTGCCATGGAATTATGGCATTCTCTGGAGAGCAGGCAGAAGAAGAACCACGCAAAGGATCTAGGCAGGCCAGAGTTGGGGGTTGGTTCTAGAGGCAGAGAGACCAAAGGGTTTTATTCATTCCCCAGGTGTTTGTCCAGAAACTCAGACAAGAAAAGCTGGTCCAAGTTCAAGGCATTGCTTTTCCCAATCACATTTCACTAATAATAGCTAACGTTTATTGAGATTCCTGTATGTGTTCTGGCACTGTCTAAAGTGTTACACGCTTGTTATGTCATTTAGTCCTTACACTAGCCCTGCGAAGTAGGTACTATAATTACCTTTACTTTGTACTTGGCATTAATTGAGGCACAGAATGGTTACATACCTTGCCCCAAATCACAGAAGTAAGTGGGTGGCAAATCTGGGATTCACGCCCAGGCATGGAGTGCTCTACTCCCTCAGAGTGTGTCTGAGCTGGGATGCTTAAATATGCATGTGCGATGTCACAGACTTGCAAAGTAGAAACCAAAGGTTTTGAGAGAGAAAAGCACTGTTCGACTGAGTGCTGTATAGTGATCTGCATGACTCACAGAGCTACGATTTCCTAATGCCTCTGTGTTTTTATCATTCTTTTTTCAGAATTTAGCTTGTACATTGATGGTGGACATAAAATGATCGATAAGCTATAGTGATGAGTAGTTTTGGAATAGTTCTCTGTCTAGAGTAGTTTTTACAGTCTTTTACCGCTGCCAGTTCATCTTGGGGCCCGCTGGATTAAGGAAATGACACCTCATCACTCTTCTTTTTTCCAAAGTACATTTATTTAAATCTTTGTTTAAAGCTTTATTCCAGTAGCAGGGATTTATTAAATGTGTGGTAGGATAAATCAAAAAATAAATGCAGACAAAGTAGGATAAAAGAAAACTGAGAGTGGGAAAGATAATATAAACCCAGCAGTTCTGTTTGCAAAATGCATGGGTTTAAGGCCCTACTGGTTTGCTAGAGATAGACCACAAATATGATTCAAACCGTTCTTGCAACCAAGCAGAAGATCAGTTACAATTGGAGTAGATGTTTTTCCTGAACTGAAACTGGGACTTGAAGATACCAACTTGTAGATTTGAATGCCATTTCCCCACATGTCTTCCATGAGCTCCTTTAAGAGAAACAAAATGCTTGGGACATTTAAAGGTGTCTGCTAATCCTCCAATTTTTATGGAGTCCAGAAATTCCATGAAAAATAACTTTGAGGGCCTCTCTGGTGGCACAGGGGTTAAAGATAGCACTACCAAGCTATTGGCAGTCACTGCAGCATGAGTTCCATCCCCAGCCACCCCAGGAGCAGCCCGCATGGTGCAGCAGACCTCTCCTGGCTCTCTGGCTGCTCCTCTCAGCAGTGTATTTCAGTAGATTGGCCTGTTCTGCTCCCTACTCTGTCTCTGGTGAATCCTCTCACACCCCTCATCTCTGGCCTATACCCCAGTTCTTGTATGCATAAATAAAAATAAATCTTTAAAAAAGAGAGCCAGCCTACCCTGGTGGCGCAGCAGTTGAGCGCTGGGCTGCGAGGCTGCCTGCAGCCTCTGCAGTGCCGGTTCGTTCCCCGGCCGCCGGCAAGGGTCCCACAAAAAAAATTAATAAATAATAATAAATAAAATAAAAAAGAAAGAGATTGAGTACAGGGAAAGAGGTAAGGACTAGAAATTGGACACTAGAAGGGATAGTGAGGCCAGCAGCAGCAGCAGTAGCAGTTGCCGTTGAACCACTGTGAGGTTCAAGGGGAAGTAGGTTTCAAGGCGAGAGAAATCCTGCTTGGTAGATCCTGTTACTGAGGAGGCTCTTGAACTGAGTGTGAACAGTGGCCAGTGAGCATAGTGGAGGTCATCAGTCAGGGAAGCCAGCAACTTGGATACAGAGCCCAGAGAATGCTGCCAGTAGTGTAGGAAGCTTTGGTGGCACCAGGCAATGTGGTAGACAGCACCCCCGTAGAGCACCCAAGCCTGACCGGCTGACTTTGGAACAGGGGACTGGCAGATGGTAGTGGTTCTGACTGCATATAGAAAATTGCTTCCCATTCTTTCTGGGAATGTGAGGACTCAGGAATGGAATTGGGCCAAGATTCTGTTTTATTTTAGAGAGGAATCGTTACTCTAAAAGACTGAAGGGCAAACTGTTAGCAGGGACTCCCAACCTTGTGAGGCCTTAGATAGTGGTATGCTGGAGTCAACTTTGGATGAGAACTAATGTTAAACTCATGAGAGCCACTGTGAAACTTCCAGGATTTTTGCAAGCCAGTTTAAACAGTCATCATCTAAACATTAAATTATATAAAGTTATAAATAGGTAAACTGCTAAAAGCAAAGGTCATGATAAACATCCTATTTATCTTGCTACAGTTTACTGTTATCAATAGTGTAGAGGTTGTTTATATTTATTCTATCTATATGGTGGAAACACTATTTAATGATATGATACTATGCATTTTTTGCTAATTTCATGTTCAGTGACATCATATTGGCTGTGGTAGAAGTATATACCCCAAGAAAATTAGCAAAAACTAATAGCTTTTTTGTGCTTTTTTGTGTTTTTTCTTTTTTTTTTCCCCAGAAGAGCTGATTGGTAAACATTTGTAGGCACATCACTTAGATGGATCATCACATTGGATCATGCATGTTGTTATCCTTGGGTGATTCCAGAAATGTCTGTGAAGGGAAATTGAATTTCCTGATTGCAAGGGCCTTCAAGCATCATGATTTGGAGTCTTAACAACATTATGATATTATTCATATTTACTGAGAGGTAATGCTTGGGACACACTGTGCCTTTTAGACAAAGTAGATCAGTGCTCTGAGGAACCCAAACATAATGTGCTGAGACCGGAGAGATGTCCCTTTGGACTGTCCTCACAAAAGATACTCTGGAACACAGCAGCAGCAGCCCCCTCCTTCCTTATAGAGAACACCACACAGACTTTCATAGGGATGTTTTATGGGCCTTTCAGTATTTGCCAAAAGCCAATATGGCGTGAAAACAAGTTTAGGTCACAAAGTGTAGACATTGTTATAGTGATATAGACCTTTGTTGTCCTGACTAAGCCATGATTGCTTATGAATGAATGAATTGACACTCTTGGGGCTGTCCTTACATAAATATGAGTCCTCTCAATCAAGTCTTAAATAAGTCTTTAGTGGTATTTAAGTTGTAAATTTTACTGTTAAACTTAGAGGTAACCATTCTGCCAATCAGATATTATAGGCTTTTGTAGTCAGCTCAATTCAAGCATATTGGGAAACCAGACAATGGCACATGCTCTTGCTACTTCTCTATTTATTTATTTTAAGATTTATGTTTATTTATTTATTTATACATGCACTGGGTACAGTCAGAAGCACGGGAGGGTGAGAGAATTCACCAGAGCCAGAGCAGGGAGCAGAGCAGGCAGAAGGACCGAAGTACACTGCTGAGGGGAGCAGTGGGTGGCAGGAGAGGTCTGCGTGCCATGTGGGACCCTCCTCCTCCGGTGGTCGGGGAGCAGCCGGGGATCAGACCGGTGCTGCAGAGGCCGCGGGCAGCTTCGCAACCCAGCGCTCAACCGCTGCGCCACCAGGGAGGCCCTCTTGCTACTTCTCTTAAACAGAGACAGGCCTAGATGGCATGCCTGAGCAGAGGCAAGATTTGTCCTTTAGATTTAGTGTTAGGGCCTCCCTGGTGGTGCAAGGGGTTAAGACGCAACCTATGAAGCCCTCAGCAGCCGCAGCCACTGCAGCACAAGCTTGATCCCCAGCTGGTCAGGGAGCAACCCACATGGCACAGCAGACCTCTCCTGTCGTGCCCGCTGCTCCCCTCAGCAGTGTATTTCAGTCAATCTGCCTGTTCTGTTCCCCACTCTGTCTCTGGTGAATCCTCTCACCCCCCACACCTCTGGCCTATACCCCAG